CTGGCAGCAGGTGGGGGGGGGGTGCGGAGGGTATAGCTGGGCGGGAGCGTGGAGTGCGGAGCATGGGGCTGGGGCTGGCTGCAGTGCGGAGCCCTCGCCCAGGGGGCCAGAAGCAGTGTGGAGCTCATCTGGGCAAGGTGTAGGTGTGAGGGGGGAGGGGTATGGGGACCCTCCCCCCCCCACTCCCTCCATGGCGCACAGCCCTGGCAGGCAGCGGGGGGCAGGGGCTCTGCTTGGTGGCTGGTTTCTGGCTGCTGGCTCTGGCCAATGCTGCACATCACAGCAAGGAGCACAGCCCCCACTGAGCCGTTCATTTCTCCAGCGCTCCCCACACTCACGGGGCACAGGAGGGAAGCCCCAGGCACCGGGGCAGGGAAAGCAGCCAGCTCCAGCTCCTGGGGCTTCCCTTCCATGCCCTGAGAGTGTGGGAGCGCCAGGGAAACAACTGGCCCAGCAGTGGCTATGCTCCTTGCTGCAATGTGCAGTGCTGGCCAGAGCCAGGCTGTGCCATGGGGGGAGTGTGCAGGGGTGGGGGCAGGAGGGGCCCACACCCCTCCTACTCTCCCTCACACCCCATAAACCACACACACACAGTGTTGTCTGCATTGACTGCAGGAGAGGACAGTGTGTTGCAGAGCCACACACCCACACCCCACAAACACCACACAACCCCCCAACAAACCCTATGCCCCCCCACACACAGCCACACCCCTACACACACACCCACCCCTCCATATCCACCCCCCACACACATACACGCACCCCCATATAGACAGAAAATTAATGAGTAGGTGAAGGGAATGATTTACTGCTGCATAAAGCATCAGTAAAACAGTAACCAGAAAAAATACTATTCCGTTTTGGTTCCACACTGTAAAAAGGATGTTGAAAAGTTGAAGCAGCAGGGTAACCACTGTCTGTAAATATATGGAAATGAAAAGCACTGTGAAAGTGTGAGTATTTTTTTTTTAAACAGGTAAAAGTCAGACATTTAATTTAATAGATTTCATAGACATTAGGGCTGGAAGGGACCTCGGAAGATCATCGAGTCCAGCCCCCCGCCCAAAGGGTGGGAAGTCAGCTGGCTTCATAGGATCCCAGCAAGATAAGCATTCAATTTGCTCTTGAAGGTGTTCAATGTAGGTGCTTGAACCACCTCCGATGGCAGGCTGTTCCAGACCTTGGGGGCTTGGACAGTAAAGAATTCTTCCTTATGTCCAACCTGAAACGGTCTTGCAGTAGTTTATGACAGTTCGACCTCGTCATCCCTTGGGGCGCTCTGGTGAACAAACGTTCCCCCAGATACTGGTGGTCACCCCTGATAAACTTATAGGTGGCCATCAGATCACTCCTGAGCCTGCGCTCTTCCAGGCTAAAGAGCCCCATGGCTCTCAGCCTGTCGTCGTAAGGTCTGACCTCTGAATGGCATCTACTTACAAGTATTTGACTATTGTCTTTTTAGCTGCAATTTCACATCCATAGGTTATGTCAAGAATCCCCTTAGTTTGTAAAAGTGAAAGGTTAAGAAAGGCAAATATTGCTGGAAGAGGTGAAGTTGTGTTTTGCTGACGAGGAGAAAGGGTGGCATGTAATTTAGACTATGCTGTATTTGAGGATGGATGGTCTTGTGCAGGGGTGGCTAACCTGCAGCACAGATGCTAGGGCTGTGTGAAGCTTTGGGTGCTGATTCGATTCGGAGGAGATTCGGCCCAATTCAGCAGTTAAATCTCCAAATCCAAATCAAATCAGGAGACCAGTTAAAAGGTTCAAATTGATTTGAAGCTCTCCGAATTAATTCAGAAAATATTCGGAGAGCTTTGGAGATTCAGGCAGTCCCCATTCGCTGTCGCAGGGAGCTGGACCCGGACTCCATGCTGGTAAGTAAGGGGTGGGGGAGGGAGGGCTGGAAGGAGACCATGGGGGGTACCCCTGCCAGGCCCCACCCCTGGCTGCTCCCTCAGCCTCCCTGAGCACCCCCTGACTCCTGTCTACTCTCCCAGCCCCACCATGGCTGCCCCAGCTCCCAGCTCTTTAAAAAAAAAAAAAAAAAAAGGCCTGCACTCACCAGCTGCTGCAGTGGCCTTGGGGCTTCTGGGGGCTTATGGCAGAGCCCCCCACACAGCGTGGGACAGTGGGGATCACCTTCCCACCTGGCAGGAGCTGATGAGTCGCTTCTTTTTTTTTTTTTTTTTTTAAAAGAGCAAGGAGCTGGGGCCAGGCAGGGCAGCCATTGACGCACTGGGAGAGCAGGCAGGGGATGGGGCCAGTTCAGAGATCTGGCTGATTTGGCGGTGGCCAAATCACCAAATCAAATCGCTGTCCTCCGAACTGGCCGAATTAGAATCCGAAGCTAATACTAGCCACTTCACACAGGCCTAACAGATGCCACAAGTGGCATGGGCAGCCTCTGTGTTTGGTCAGGGAGGGAGCAGGAAGTACAGTGGCACATAGGGCAGGAAGCACTCAGCCTGGAAAAGCATTTTATGGGACTCTTTAGCCTGGAAAAGCGCAGGCTCAGGGGTGATCTGATGGCCACCTACAAGTTTATCAGGGGTGTTCACCAGGATCTGGGGGAACATTTGTTCACCAGAGCACCCTAAAGGATGACAAGGTCCAACTGTTATAAACTCCTGCAAGACCGTTTCAGACTGGACATAAAGAAGAATTTCTTTACTGTCCAAGCCCCCCAAGGTCTGGAATAGCCTGCCATCGGAGGTGGTTCAATCACCTACTCTGAATGCCTTCAAGAGAAAATTGAATGTTTATCTTGCTGGGATCCTGTGACCCCAGCTGACCTCTTGCCCCTGGGGCAGGAGGCTGGACTTGATGATCTTCCGAGGTCCCTTCCAGCCCTAATGTCTATGAAATCTATAAGCAGAAAGCAAAGGAGAGGATAGGGCAGGGATGGGATCAGAAAGCAGAGCAGCAGATTGGACAGGGTAAAGGGATTGGAATGGCACTCAGGGAGGGTGCAGGACTAATTTCTGGCACACCTGCCAAAAAGGCTAACCCTAGCTAGGAACACCTGGGTTCACTTGTCTGAACCCTTGACTTCCTGCATGAACCTTGTCATGAACCAGGGGTTCCTGGGGTGTTTTGCATGATTTCTTGACTTTATTTTACTAATGTGGCATGTATAATCTCTATGTGTAGGTAACATTGAACTGTGTTCAACCTTACTATTCTAATATCTGTACAGACTATGGTATTTGATAGACACATAATTTTGATATATTTTATATTATAGCCAAGGCTGTTCCACTGGGTCAGTGATTATTGTAATAGGCTCTCACCTATTCAAGTTTAGAAAAGGCAATTGCTGAGAATTTGTATTTGACAGGGGTTTGCTGACACATCACACTTGCCCATGTGCTCCCAGGCAGAGGAGCCAGGCTGTGACCAGACAATGGTGAATTTCCATTTTAAAAGGAAAAACTCTTGTAGGAGATAACACCTTGAAACAGAGAATCTGTACGTTGGAGTAGTGAACCTCTATGTCTGGAAGGAGGCACATGTTCCCTTGGTCTTAACAGAATCAAAAAAATCATGTAATCTGGTATACATGCACCTTTGGGGGGCAAGAAGTTATACCTTTAGCATAGTAAGTTTACACCTTTAGCATAATGTGAGTCCCATTAGAATCAAAGAGGTAACATATGTGAATAGCTGGACAGGCAACTGTATTGAAGCCTCTGGTCCCTCAGCCAAAGCAGGCTGAGAAAAGCAAGCTGACAGAAGAACTTGCAGAAGGCCCTGACAGAAAGGTCAGAGGCAAAGTCTACTATTTAACCTGTCAAACCTGGCTAGGGACTGCATCTGTGCAGGGTAAGAAGAGGTTATTGTTCTTATATTTTCTCTTGTTTGTTTGCTCATATATCTCTGTGTGTATCTCAGCATATCATTACTGATTTATTGCACTGGTTCTTATTTTTTTTATAATAAATAATTGTTGTTGGTTGTTTTTTTTTTTTTACAAACTACTTGTCAGTGATACTTGAGATCCCAGAGTATCTGACCATTCACATTAACCCATTCCATGGAAATGGGGAATCCAACTTTTATGAGCATGTGACCAAACAAGGGTACGTTTCTTCTAGTTGGCAAAATTCCCTTGTCTAAGGACTGCCAAGACCCAAGCGACACAGGTAGGGCTGAGGCTCCACAGCCCACAGAGTTGGCTTTTGGTACACCTCAGTTGGCCCTCAGTGGTCAAGCAGCAGACAAGGGCTTGGGGCAGAAGGGCACTCCAATTTGTGAAAGCACCTTGGGAGTGCATCTCAGAAGGTGCAGCCAGGCTGCATCAGAGCACATCACAGTCCTGAGCAGCTCATTTAACCTACCTTATATCTCAGTCCCCTGCCTGTAAAGTGCAGATAATACCCTTGCTCACAGGGGCACTGTGAGAATAAAGTGATGTGGAATGCATGGATGCAACAGTGAGAAGGCCTTGACAGACAGTAGTTTAAATATGAGTAAAGGGAAGAGCAAAGTATGCTTGCACATGCTTTCTGTAACTGTGTTTAAGGGGTATTAACTGCCCCACAGCCCTTCCCTTCACTCCCTGTAACAACACATTGGCTCCATTAGTATGACCAGTTTTACCTCCCAGTACACACAGGCCTTGTGTATAGAATACCATTCACTCAGTGTATATGGCCTAATAGAAATCACTGTTTGGAAACAGAAAAGCACTTGTAATCCTCTCCCCTCATATCTGACTCTGGTTACTCACTATTTTTACACGGTGCCCAGGTGTTGCAGATATATCCCAGGTACATTCTTTCCGGCTAGGGTACTTGTCAGGCCAATTTGGACTTGATATTGTTCCTTCCACACTGCTCAGCTTGTGCTCACAACCAGCTTAAGAAGAAAAATCAATTATCCGGTCAATCATTAGATGCAGTCAACTTTACTGTAATGCACTGGCAGTTCCTCCCAACCCCTGGACTCAGAAAAAACAGGGAAAGGATTTAATCACTGATTATGATCTTTCATAACCAGTATGTGTAACAGTCTACCCCCGGGTGAATCCGATCAGCTGCAGAGACTGAACCTACCACCTCTAAAGGTAAACTCAACTGCCTGAGCTTAGACAGCCAAGGGCAGGATATGTTTGACAGGAAGTCTTTCACCTACTTGTATTTGTGCCACTGTCAGCACTGTCAGTGGGAACTCAGGAGTGGGTATAGTTTACAAATGTATCACCCATAAACTGAGGGTGGGAAAGGGTGAAGAGGAATCTTGCATTTCATGCAGGTGCTTTCTTTCAAAACATGTTTCAACTCTGCATCCACTGTTCACCAGGATTAGGCATGTGCCCTTTCTCTCTTACCACCCTACCCCTATGTACTCCATAGCCTCTGTCCAGTATTGGAAAGCCTTTGGAGCACAGGAGGCACTAGATAACATGACTGGCAAGTAGGGGGCAGGGTGCATAAGCAGCTGCTGGGAGGGGTTGAACCTCTAAATGTTGTTCACCATCAGAAACAGTATTTGGAAAGCTTGGCCTAGCAAATTTCTAGCTTCTGCTTGACCGGAGTTGGATTTTATTCAGGTTCATCTGGTGGCTGCTTAGGAGCCCCACTGAAGAGAGCCTGTGGCTCCCATCCAGATCCTAACAATGTTGAGCAGTGGAGTAACAAGCAGAGGTGGTGCTTGGTAGGCCTGTGCATAGAGGGAAGTATTCTATTCGGATTCAGATGATTTGGACGACAGTGATTCGATTTGGATCGCTGTCCTGAATCAATTCAGCCAAATCAGCTTCAGAAGATTCAGCACTGATTCAGAGAGATTCAGTGATTCAAATCAACTGGGGAGAGGCAGACACAGCTGGGTGGCTGCAAGTTTTCCTGCGGCTCCTTTGGCTATGCCTGCCTCTCCCCAGGCAGGGGAGCCACAGGAGAAGCCCCCATGGCTGCCCTGCCTGGCCCTATCCCCCACCCAGCCCCATCCTCCTGGCACTTTAAAAAAAAAAGAAAAGAAAAAGCCCGCACTCACCAGCTGCAGAGCTCCTCTGTGCAGTGTGGGGCAGTGAGGAGCAGCGGGGATCGCACCCCCTCCACCTGGCATTCAAGCATCAGATGCCTCATGGTGCAGGTGCAGCATGGCTCAGCAGGGCACTGTGCACTGCCTGAGAGCTGGGGTTGCTGGGGCTGAGCGCTGCTGGGCTCTGGCTGACACATGGAGGCGCCCCAGCTCCCCAGTGAATCGAACTGGGATATGGGGAATTGAACCGGGGGCAGGGGGAATGTTTGTTCAGGTCCCTGAACATTTCCCCAGTTCCTGCTTCAGTTCCCCGGGTCCCTGAACTTTCCCGCAACTCTCTGATCGCTTCCCCCAGCTTTTACCAGGGAGGTGTGGGCTCCCAGATGATGTGGGAAGACAGCAGGCTGCTGCTGCCAGCTGGTAATGGGCTATTTCCCCAGCCAGCAGCAGCATCCTGCTGAAACCCCGTGCACATAACTGGGGGCTGCACCCCATGGGAAGAGCTGGGGAAATAATCAGAGAGCTGGGGAATCAAACCAGAAGCTCCGAGTGACATGTGGAACTGCCCATGCTCTTGGACAGCGCGCAGCACCCTGCCAAGCTGTGCTGCACCCATGCCATGGGGCAGCTGCCACGTGGGTGCCAGGTGGAGGAGGTGATCCCTGCTGCTCTCACTGCCCCATGCTGTGCAGGGTGGGGAGGACTCTTCCATAAGTGTCCAGAGGTCCCAGTTGCTGCTGCTGCAGCCAGTAAGTATGGGGCTTTTTTTTTGTTTTGTTTTTTTAAAGTGCCAGGAGGCTGGGGCCGGATGGCGGATGTGGCTGGGCAGGGCAGGGCAGCCATGGGGGCTTCTCCTGCAGCTCCTCTGGCTGTGCCTGCCTCTGCCCCAGTGTGGGGAGCCACAGGGGCTCTGCCCTGCTGCTGCTGGCCCCCTTCCACCTGGAGTGAACCACATCCACATCATGCCCCCCCGCCCCATCTGGGCAAGCAGCATTAGGACAGAGACCCTGTTCCCAGCATTGCCACGCCCACTTCCCATGCCCCACTCCCCAAGTAATGTGCTCCCCCCTCCCCCCCTGCCTGGCTAGGCAGCTTGTCCAGCCCCAATCCCTCCCTCCCCCCTGCCTCTTCCCTTCCCCTTTCCCAACTCCAACCCCAACAGACTTACCAACTGGAGGCACCTGACAACTGCCCGTTTAGTCTATGGCCAAATCTCCAAAGCGGCCGAAACTTTTTTCAAAGGTTTTCTGAATCAATTAGGATGCTTTAAATAGATTCAGAGCTTTTATTTGGTCTCCCAATTCAATTCAGATTTGGAGATTCGGTCCCCAAATCAGGCCGAATCTCCTCCGAATCGAATCAGCTACCAAAGCTTCACACAGCCCTAGTGCTTGAAGCTCTAGTGGCTACTTAAATTCCCAGTGAAATTCCATGGGAGTTGTCCACTCAACTCATTTGGGTTCTTTCAGTAACTTAAACCTAAAAAGAGGGCTGCAAGTCATTATTTTACATATGTTATCCTTTGTAAACAGGTTCCTATTCACCCTTTCTTATCCATAAATCAACCTTCTCCGGCTGCCTTATTTACTTTGTTTCTACAAAATTAAACAGTGGCTTAAAAATAAATCCTGGATTCCTGGCTGCAGCCAGCATGCCTCACCTTCTTTGCAGTCATGGCCATTCTCATGCAGCATAAACCCGTTCCTGCACTGGCAAACATAGCTCCCAAAGGTGTTGATACACTCATGCTGACAGCCTCCATTGTCTTCGGAGCATTCATCCTTATCTGGAACGAGCCAAACAAACCATGCTTAATTCCATGCTAGAAGAGACAGCTAACCTTGGATGCCAGCTGGGAGTTCTCAAGGCCTTTTACAAGCCCATCTTCCAAAGCTGCAAAGAACCAGCACAAACCTCCATCTCTGCATTATGTCCAATCACCTCTCCCTCCCCAGGGCAAGTCCCTTTTCATGTATAATAAATCTGTATCCATTAAATACTCTTTAATTATACTTAATTAAATGAGAACAGATTTCATCCCCAGCAAAAATTCACTGGCCCATCTATATCCTTGCAACTCATACTTCTACACTAATCCACATGCCTTTCTCACTACTTATGATATCCCAGCTTTCCCTTCATTTTGCTTTCCTAGCCTCCTTCCATATGATAGGCTCTTAATTCCACCCAACCCTGAACATCCTATCAGCTTCTCTGCATCTGTTCCAGTCTGGGTTCCTTTCTCCTGAATATAGGTGACCAGAACTGTCCACAGTATTCCAAATAAAGTTTCATGAACACCTCTTCAATGGTATTCATACTTATCCATGACTGATACATCCTAGGATAATATTCACACTTTCACATAGAACATAACCTCTTAAGTACCTTGCTACAAGGTGCCATTGAAGCAAAATACTCAGATCCTCCTAAAAGAGCATGTCAATTATCTGGTTAACGTGCAAAGCTATGACAGTAAGGATTAAAAAAGTTTTCTGGAAGGGACCCACACCTGCCTGGCTTTATGGCAAAAGTCAGTCCTCTTAAGGAAGGTCAGGAAGAGATACCTTCCAGGGCAGGTTATCCCATCCTGGCCTGCTTCATGGTTTTGGAGAGGAGGGGTGTGTTAGGCCTGTGCAAGTCGGCAGCGATCCAATTCAGCTTTGGATCCAGCCACTTCAGATGGCCGCAATCCGATCTGGAGCTCTGGACCGGGTTTCCACCCTGATCCGGCCAAAGTGGCTCCGAAGGTTTGGAGCTGCCTCGGAGATCCAGCCATAGGGTATAATGGGGAATCAATGAAATATCTATAACTTTGTTGTTTTTTTGTCCAATTTGGATGAAACTTGCAGAGATGGTAACCTCTGCTGAGAGCATGAAACCTGCCAAGTTTCAAGAAGATCGGTGCAGGGGGAGTCTGGGGCCCTGCATCCCTAGCTGCTGACAGGCAAAACTCATGCCAAGGCTGTCTGTCCTAGGGCAGCTGATTGTGTGTATTCTTTCTTCTTCTTGACCTGGTTTTGTAGGTGCTAATTGATGCTCGTTGGTATGTAGCAGCTAGGTCCTGTGTATTGAGCTGGTCCCCGAGTCCCTGAGTGATTGATGATCGGTAACTGGGAACACAGCAGCTTAGCAGCCAGGCCTGCAGCAGTGTCTCCCCTCCCACCCCGAGACAGTCACAGTCAGTCCCACAAGCACCCAGGGCACGAGTTCTGCTTGTCCGCAGCTTGAGGAGCAGTTCCCTCCAAACCCCTGCACCGATCTTCTTGAAACTTGGCAGGCTTTGTGGCCTCAGCAAGAGCTACCATCCCCTGCAGCTTTGATCCCCCCTGTGTTGTAACACATAAACGTAACAGGAGTTTTGCTTTCAAGAATTTGGGGTACAGTTGTCCCAAAACCCCTCCACCAATTTTCTTGAAACTTGGCCAGCTTCATTCCCTCTGCAGAGTCTACCATGCCTGAAAATTTCATCCAAATCGGACAAAAAACAACACAGTTATAGGTATTTTATTGTTTCCCCATTATACCCTATGGCCGGATCTCCAAGGTGACGTCGAAGCTCTTCAGGAGCTCCGAACCGCTTCGGGAAGCCTAACGAGGCAGCGCTTCGACCCAGATGTGCTGCTTCGGACCCCAAAGCATCTGAAGTTTCTCCGGATCCGAAGCTCTGTCCAAAGCCTTGCACAGCCCTAGGGTGTGTGTGGAAGGGAGGGCTTGCATCTTCCTTGGAGGCAGCAATTTCTGTATTGGTGGGGTATCACACTGCAGATGTTGTGCCACGAACATGCACTGAGCAAAATCTATCACCCATTCTTGTGTTGAGAAACAAGGGAAAAAAGGAAGAGGGACACTAAAGGATGTTTTTTATACTGCATGGTACATAAGATGGGGCTCTGGCAACACCACCATTTCTTACGCTAAATAGCAGCATGATATCAACTCCCATGAAGCTTTCCCTATTCCTGGTCACAGAGGACTGAGAACTTTCCTCCCTGAGAGAAAAGGCCACATACCAGAGAAGAAGTGGACTTTGAATCCCTTTTTGGACACAGTGTTGTCTGTTTTGAACTCCAATCTGATGTTGTTGTTATACGATGTAATTACTTCTGGCTTCTCTGAGCCACAGAATTTGCCGTGGAGCTTGGAGTCTGAAGCCAGCCCACTACGAACCTCTACATAGTCATATTTACAGACCTGCCAAGAGAAGGAGAGGTTGCTTGCCACAAGGGATTTGTACATAGCATTTCAAGCGCAAAATACAAAAACAACTTGCTGAGTGACAATAGAGCTGACACAATATACAGCCTTGCCTTCTGATAACACAAAAGCCTGCTCATGTGATGTCATTAACCTCCTGACTCTTCTTATAGCATAGCAGCCAACAGTGGCGAAAAAACAGGTTAGCAACTATTTAGAAAAACTGGACATATACAAGTCCATGGGGCCAGATGGGATGCACTCGAGGATGCTGAGGGAGTCGGCTGTTGAGATTGCAGAGCCACTGGCCATCATCTCTGAAAACTCATGGCGATCAGGAGAGGTCCCAGATGATTGGAAAAGGGCAAACATAGTACCCATATTTAAGAAAGGAAAAAAACAAGGATCCAGGAAACTACAGACCAGTTAGCTTCACGTCAGTCCCTGGAAAAATCATGGAGCAAATCCTCAAGGAATCCATTTCTAAGCACTTGAAGGATAGGGTGATTAGAAACGGTCAGCATGGATTCACCAAGGGCAAGTCATGCCTGACCAACCTAACTGTCTTCTACGATGAGATGACTGGCTCTGTGGACCAGTAGATGTGGTATATCTTGATTTTAGCAAGGCTTTTAATACAGTCTCCCATAACATTCTCCCAGGCAAGCTAAGGAAGTACGGGATGGATGAATGGACTGTAAGGTGGGTAGAAAGCTGGCTGAAGTACGAGGCTCAAGGGTTGCAATCAAAGGCTCGATGTCTAGTTGGCAGCTGGTAGCAAGTGGAGTGCCCCAGCAGTTGGTCCTGTGGCCAGTTTTGCTCAATGTCTTTGTCAATGACCTGGAAGACAGCATAAAGTGCACCCTCAGCAAGTTTGCAGAGAACAGCAAGCTGGATGGAGTAGCACATATGATGAAGAGCAGGGCTAGTATTCAGAGTGACCTAGACAAATTGGAGGATTGGGCCAAAAGAAATCTTGTGAAGTTCAACAAAGAGAAGTGCAGTCCAGCATGTAGGATGGGACAACCCCATGCACTGGTACAGGCTGGGGGCTGACTGGCTGAGCAACAGCTCCACAGAGAAGTACCTGGGGGTTACAGTGGACAATAAGCTAAATAAGAGTCAACAGTGTGCCCTTGTTACAAAGAAGGCTAATGGCATACTGGGGTGCCTTGGTAGGTGTGTTGCCAGCAGGTCAAGGAAAGTGATTATTCCCCTCTATTCAGCATTGGTGAGGCCACATCTGGAGTACTGCATTCAGTTTTGGGCCCCCACTACAGAAAGTATGTGGACAAATTGGAGAGAGTCCAGTGGAGGGCAACAAAATGGTGTGGGGGCTGAGGCGTATGACTTCTGAGAAGAGGATGAGGGAACTGGGCTTATTTAGTCTAGAAAAGAGAAGGCTCAGGTGGGATTTAATAGCAGCTGTCAACTACCTGAAGAGTGGTTCAAAAGAGGATGGAACAAGACTGTGACTAATGACAAAACAAGGATGAACAGTCTCAAGTTGCAGCAAGGGAAGCTTAGGTTAGATATTGGGAATAATTTTCTCACTCGGAGGGTAGTAAAACACTGGAACAGGTTACCCAGAGGGGTGGTAAAATCTCCATCCTTGGAGGTTTTTAAGACAAAGCTTTGGCTGGAATGATCTAGTTGGGGATGGTCCTGCTTTGAGCAGGGGGTTGGACTAGATGTGACCTCCTGACGTCCCTTCCAACTTTAATTTTCTATGATTCTATGAGCTGCATTTATCACAGTGCTTTGGTTCGATTTAAAATTACCTAAGGTAATTTGTGTGACTGCATTACTATAGACCCCTAGTGACTTGTGTTTTTCAATAAACTTCTGTCTGCAAATATTCCAGTTACTTATGGAAGTGCTGTTAATCTCCCTATTTTACAGATAGGGAGCTACAATCTGTTCCAACTCCAGTTTTAGCAGAACAGGGAATTGAACCTACTTCTATGAGGGCCCAGGCCAAGGTCCAAGTCTTTGGACCATCCATACACGGTATGTTTCTTAATTGTCACTTTTCATTAATCCTCCTATGAAAGTCCTCCCCTAAGAAAATGGGCTTAATAGAAGCTAGGAATGGAAAAAAAACCCTATGATTTTGCAAAGCTGGTACAGAAGCAAAACCTATTTGTAAAAAGAATTAGCTTAATCTATCTCAATGTCCTATAGATTTCAAAGAAAAGAGTTAACTTTTTTTTTAAGTTGTTCATTAAGTCAGTTGTCTGAGAAGCCACCAAACTAAGACACAAAACAGCATCTGTATACTAAGCTGTTATCAGATTCCAAGTTAACTAATGATCACACAGTTACATACATCATTGCCTTCCAGCTCAAACACTTCAAACTGCAGAGATATCCGGTACTGGGCCGGAGCCACCACCTGCCAGATGCAGTTTTTGTTAGTAGGATATTCCTTCGGCCATCCAGGGCTTGTGATGGTCCCATTGAGCTTGGAGATGAAGCCCCCACAGGCAGCTGGAGAAGGAATAAATGAATACAAGGTTTATCTGGTTCATTTCTGACACAGAAGAGATCAGGGCTTGCTGTGGGATAGGAAACAATTTGGGCCCAAACTGGTACCTCTCTCTTCAGGGTGTACAATGGCACGGTGCAGGGGGAGATGGAAGTTGTTTCATAGCTTCATCTTTAGCTGGTATAAATCACCCCAGCTCATTGCAGCTATGTCAGAGCTATACAGATTTATCCCCATTGAGGATCTGGTCCACAGAATTAAGTTAACCTCAGCGGATTTGTCTCCAGTAGACTTTAGTACTGTGAGTTAACTGACTACCAATTTACTCCAAGAAATTAACACCTTTTAAAAAAGCTAGCTGCCTATTCCTCTCACCTTTTTCTAGGCTACAAACATTTGCCCTTTGCCTTGGGAATCAGCCTAGTGGAAATTTTGCAGCCCAGATAAAACATGCGGCAAGTATCTGTACTCATTTCCACATATTTTCTACCCTTAAGTGACAGCTAATTAACCAGAGATAAAGGGTTTGTTTTCAAGACATTTTTCCTTAAGACTTCCTATCATCTACAGACCACATCTACCCTGGGACAAACTGAAAACAAAACCAGAGTGTTTAGGCAAAATACACCCATTGCCATCTGTAGCCTGTTACCTGGAGAAATTCATCTTCACTGCAAAGAAAAGGTGTGTTCTTCACATCAGTGTGAGTAACTGGAATTTTTCTCTCTACATAAAATCTTAACCAGGGATCAGACACAGGCAGCTTTTACCTGGAAGTAGCTAGTTGATGATGAGGAGGTCTAGGTCTTGATTGCTGGCCTACAGTGAAAAACTACTGGGCACCACCTACATGTTCATTAATGTGGTTTAGGTAATGTGTATTAAATCTAGTACCTGCATTGTGAAATACTAGAAAAACGCATATCAGGCTATTTTAACTTGCATTAGCAAAAGAGCACAGATTTTCTGTGATGGTTTAATGTGCAGTAAAATAGGCTAATGTGCATGTGTAGAGGTGCCCATTATGGGTGTGCAAAGTGGGCCCTATTTGATTCAGATTTGACCCAAATCACGGACAGTGATTTGATTTGTTGATTCGGATCACTGTCCCCGATTCCATTAGGCCGAATCTGAATCTGGAGAATCAGCAATTTGGATGTAGACACAGTTTAAATGTTTTTTTCTACTTCCAGTCCACTTCCAGGTCTGCTGAGGAGCGTGCGGGGGGCCCCAACCAGCTGTGAGGGGACCCTGGGTGCCGCTCCAGACCCAGAACCACTCATTGAACCAGGGAGGCCCCGGTTGGCCACCCTGTGCACACCCTAGCGGACCCGGAAGTGGACTTCTGGTCCACTTCTGAGTCTGCTGCCGAGCATGCTGGGGAACCCCCCGCACTTCTGAGAGACACGCCAGCATCGCAGCACTCACGAGCCGGCTGCTACCTAGAGGTATGTAGAAAAAACATTTAAATACGTATCTATGTACGAATCTTCAAATCTTTCCAAATCTCTTTGAATTGATTCAGAGGGTTCAGATTTGATTCAGAGAGATTAAAGGGTCCTCTGATTCAATTCAGATTCGGAGAACTGGCCACTGAACTGGGCTGAATCTCTGCCGAATCAAATCAGGGACTGAAGCTTTGCACAGCCCTAGTGCCCATTATGTCCTGTCTTCATTGGCATTCTACAGTGAGGGAATCCCATGGAGTTAGGAGGCAGAACACATGCTACTGGGGGCGGTGGCTGTGGTGTTTTGTTCCCTTTTTTGATGATAAGATTAATCCTTATTGATTTATTGCCCTTTTAATTTCTATGGACTTGTTACCCTTTGTACAAAGCATTATCTTTAGTGCCTTATCTCTAGAGACGGTTAGAAAGCAAAGCAAAGTCCATGAAATATTCTGATTTCTCTCCAAACTTTCCAATCAGCTCTAATTATTGTCCTTTGTACGTCATAATTTCTTAGTAGCTCATAGAGAACCGCCACTTTTACCCTGGGCCTGATCTTTGTCTGAAAGGCTGGGAGAATTCTGCCACAGGTGGCAGAATTCACGTCTGAATAATCCAGAGCTACTCTGTGCTAAGAATGGAAGCTCTGTTAATATACATTATCACATTTAGATTATCTTCTAGGAAAGAGGCCCTGATTTTGCTAAGGGATTGGGCTCTTGACTTAAAATCTGTTTTTATGAGATAGACATTTTCTGCAGGTACCACCATAGTTCCCTGCCCCCCCTCCTGCCTCCAAGAAAAGCAGCCCAGGAGTCTTAAGCTATTCAATATTCAGAATCAGCTTATTTTCTCTTTTCTGCATTGTCACCAGTGCACAACATGTGGTACAGCAACACTTGGAAAAGCTAAAGCTATTGCTCTTACCTGTATCAGTACATTAAGACCACATTCCTATTTTCTGTACTGTAGATGAATTGAGGCTAAAATATTTATAGAGTATGTTCCTATCAAATAATGTCTAACAGCTGTCTAAAACTGTGTAAATTACTTTAAAAATATGGAGCAACTTTCCAAAGCAACTGGCATTTGCTTAACTTCCCTTCCACTGATGTCTGTGGGAGACCCTCTCAGAGTGTGTCATCTTTCATGCTGCACTGGGGCTACACAAGAGGTGAAACTTGTGCATCATGTGAAATGTGGTGTAATAAACCACTGAGCCTATAGCGGAGAATAGGGTAGAAAGTCATTTATGGCACATGCATCTTTCTCCCTCCCCCAAATCAGCTCTCCAAAACTTGGATTTTTCTCTTCACTGGAATAGAATCAGGGTAGAATACAGCAATTAGACAATGAATTCATGGCTGCCAAGATGGCAGCAAGCAGCAGCAGTAAAGTCCAAGTTTAACCCTTTCACAGCAGGAAATAGCATGTGGCTGAAAAGCCATTGAGCTGGTTGAGGGCAAGTGAGTGGCTGTATGCAGGTCTCTAGTATTTGAAGAGTCTTGCAATATGGAAAAAATAGCTTGTTACTTATTTTCTTATATAAAGAACTACTTATAGTAAAGAAGTAACGGTCTTGCTACTGCCTTGCAAGGGTCTGGACCCTACCGTGGTTGCCATCCTGCCACAACAGGAAGTTCCTGCTGCCTCATCCAGACTGCCTCTCCTGGGTGCAGTCAGCCGTGACTCTGGGTAATGCTTTTTTCCCCCTATATACTGCCTTCCAATGTGTGTGTCTTATTTGGGGGGGGGGGGGGGGGGGG